TCTGGATGTTTCAAAGTGGATGAAGTAGAGAAGCCACAGTGAACAATCCAGCGATAAAAGATTCCAGCAAATTTAGAAAAGTTATTTTGATGGGGAGCATCACCACTATTGGTAAATGCTACAGCCTTCCGGGAGGTCTGTAAAGTTAACAGGGAGCTGGCCCCCATTTGGGGAAAAAGGTGGAAGAAACCTGGAAAAACTCCACCTGGCCAGCCAATATTGATACCTATACAAGTTCTATATATACAAACATACGTACTGTACATAAATAATAGAGAGGTTGAGGCGCACGTTTTAAACGTGTAAACGTGTACGTGTGACGTTCGGCGCCGCTTTCCCGTAAGCCTAAAAGTTTGACAATGGTGTTTGGATAGTCGGTGGAATCACGCTCGACATTCCAAACACCATTGTCAAACTTTTAGGCTTACGGGAAAGCGGCGCCGAACGTCACACGTACACGTTTACACGTTTAAAACGTGCGCCTCAACCTCTCTAATATATACAGTGAAAACTGCTTAGGCGACCACCTGCATTCGACGGGGACCTGCCAAAACGGGCAAAAATTTCTGGCACGGAATAGTTTATCCATAGAGTCTTCGTATAAGTTACCTGTATTAAACGACCACCTGTGTAACGCGACCGCGGGAATCGATTTTTGGTCCGAAACAACATACAACACCTGTAATAAGCGACCACTTTCGCGAATGTATCTGGTCTAAACTATTGTAAGAACCCATCTCAACAACGTTTCCACCTCCTAATATAATGAATTAGTCTAAACTCTCGTTCGAACCCATCCCGGGCACTTCTCCCACCCTTGAAATTAGGTGCAGGTGTTAATAAATTAGTCTAGCAACAAAGGAAATTCATTTCAGTTTGTTGGAAAATGTCCGAAATGCAAAGTGCTGTCGTTAGAAGATCGTATTAAAGTTATCACAACAGCAATTAGCGGCGAAGTTTAACTGTGGGAAAACAAAATTTATTTTACCCTAGACCTACAGTATTTTCCTTGGGGGTGTAAAATATTGTACACGATACAATTAATCGGCTGATCTCATCGTTTGATAAAATCTATTTTTATTTATTTATTTTGAAGCTCATATACAGTACACGTGCGATAAATAGTTTCTGTATCAACCTACCTTATTTCCACGATATTTTTAGAAAAATAATATCCAAGTAATTTTCGCAGGCAAAATATTCAAAAAACAATAAACGCATTAATGCAAAAATCAGTTTTACTTCCTTTTTCGATTCCGCGATTGTAATGAAATCGTATAATGAGAAAAAATAATAAAATCGTTTTATTATTAATTAATAATTTTTCTTATTGTACTTAATTAATTAAGAAAATATTAAATATTAAAAAATACAGTATTTTTAAAGTTAAAATAAGATTAAACTAACGAAAACCAAAAGCAAAGTGATGGAGAGATAGGACGCGCTTGTATATTGATGACGTAATACACGTAACTGAGGAGCGAACGAAAAGAACCGAGTCGAATTAATTAAGTCGGAAAAAAGAAAGTGTGCATTATAATCGAGAAAATGCGAGTATTGTATTAATCTTTAAAATATTGGTGTTAAATCTGTCTTATAATATCATGACGACTCCTGTAAATCGGGTTATCCGATAAGAATAAAATACAATACCAATATAGCCCTATCATTGAAAAAATTCGCTTATTTTTGCTAGCCTCGAGTTTTGCTTAGTAGAAATGGCTAAAAAGTGCGCAAAATACGGTATTACAGCACTACCTGTATTGGACGACCATCTGTCTAAAAGACCAGTTTTTGAAGGAACCGTCGGTGGTCGCCATAGACAGGTTTTACTGTATAAAGAAATACGTATTATTATTTTACAACCTTTACATAAAATTTTCATTCGGAGTTATTTTCTATTAACAACATGTAAGATGTATCACATAGTAACTTTGTAATATAATACAGTACAGTACTTTCGTCTTCCGCATTTACTTCTTTAATTACAAATGAAAAGTAACTCAATGATTAAAATGACATTCCTAAATATCCAAACAAAATTAAGCAACTAATATGAAATCTAGAAAGAACGATGATAAAAAAATGAAAGAATAAACTTCTGAAATTTTATTGCAATGTTATTGTGTAACACTGTATACAATTGCATGTAATTTTTAAAACAGTTTATTTCAAATGAAAATAATGGTTAAAATCTATACTTTAATCATTACTTTTATTTAAAGCATTAAACTTTACAAAATTTTGAGAAAACATTTATTAAATAGAGTAAGAATTAAACAATTAGAATAAGAATACATATTTCAAAAAATTTGAGAAGGATTGCACTATTACAGAGAAACTTTCCAGGAAAAGAAAGTATACTTTGTGCTATTTTGAAAACTACAGCAAAGTTATGTATCAGTTTGGAAAATTATAACGGTAAAAAATAAATGATTTTGTATTTTGCGGTATTTCATATACGTACTGTACTTTAGTTAGGTTTAAAGTTTCATCATTGTGAAAATACGCAACGATCTAACTGCAACGTATTTTACGCAATGAAAAGTCTAGTATCGAATAATATATTAATTGACATGAGGCTATAGATCAGTTTAAAGTAAAATAACGAAAATCAATTACGTTCTGTAATAGAGAATGGATTATAATTGTTTAATTGCATAAACATGATTTATTTATAAATAGAGGCAATTACAATTATAGTCTTACATATTAGTTTTAAACCTACACGAAATGCGGAAATGATCATGACAAACTTATTGAGAAGCAATTTTAAAAAATTGCAGACCTATAAATTCCCACTATCATCCGTCTGTTCGTCTCGCTGTCTGTCTCTCTTTTCTTAATCTCAAGAATGGAATTAGACAAAAGATGAGACCAGATATGGAAATCTTAGAGGCAGGAGCAATTATTGATCGATCATTATCATTTCTGTTTTGAATGAGTTAAAATTATTAAAAAATTCTCTAGATGATTATTGGTTTGTTCTAATAAAATATTAAAATAGAAAAGATAACATTACAAAATTTTATTATCCCATTAATGTCTGGAATTTTATTTCATTTGTTTACAAAGCATGTCATGTTTTATCTCAATCAATATCTTATTTGTTAAGAAACATTGTCATAATTTTTTTTTAACTTAAAAGATACAATAATTAAGAAAAGATCTATATTTCCGGCCTCCCAATAACGGCCTCCTCTAACTAGCGACCATTTTTTCCAGGACTCATTTTTTGAAGAAAATTACACACAAAACAATTATCAACCAAACAAAGCCCCTCTCCGAACATCATATATCTTTTATGTTCCCATTAGTGGCCGTTGTTCAGAGGTTTTACCACAATTTAAACAAAAACTAGACTTTTTTAAGTCATAAATTAAAAAATTCCGTGACATAATTCATTGAATTTAAATTTATGATTTTTTGATTTTAATAATAATAAAGTTATAATATTATAATTGTAATAACTATATTATTTTAACAGTTATAATAAAGATTAAAGGTTTCAATGTAGATTAATAGAATTAATGTTTAATAATGCAAATTCGTTTCATATAATAAATAACATAAATTTTGAATTAAATAACATGTGAAATAAATTATACTTTACAATAAACCCCAATTGATAACATATGCCTACAGGTTTGAAATCAAATAATATTTTTTCCTTTTATATTTGGAATAATTTTGGCTTTTTAGTTATTTAAATTAATAAATTTGAAGCAACTTAATTTATATAACTTATTCCATATAATTAAAGTTATGATTTCAGATTTTTTTTTTATTAAAAATGTAAGTTATTATTATATATTATATCATAGCTTTTGCGTTATTTAAGCGAAGGATTTCGGAAATAGCAAAATCTTTGTAAGAAATAGTTTGAATTTTTCGAAAATAATCGAAAAAAATTGCAAAAATCATACGTATTATTTAAATAACTTTAGTTTTAATTTATAATAAGACGTTTTTATTCATTGTATAAAATTAAAAACAATTTATTACTTAGAATATATAGAAAAAGTATTATAATAAGTAAAAAGTGTTTAGTTGTAAATTCAATAAGCTAACTTGGGAATTTTGATGGTGAGTAGCTTGACGTAACATTTTTTAAATTTTTTTATTATATTCTTGTTAAATGTGTTTACGAAACAAATATACTATTTTATACAATAATGCTATAAATGAAAAATAGTTTTTGTAAAGTTTTGAATTTCCAAATGAAACAAAAGCTGGTATTTTTGATAAGTTTTCCATGAATCGAAAGTTAATTGTATAAGAAAGGAAATTAATTTTTAGTTTACAGTTATATAATGTATATTTTATGGTCATTTAAAAATAACCGTTACATAGCAAATGATTTTAATTATGAATAAACTATCAGAATTTGTTATATTTCGAGTGCTTATAACATATATTAAATGATCGAATTAAATAAATTTACAATCTAAATAACAAAAAAATCACTAGAGGGAAATAACTTTAACATAGTTTTTATAATAAATTATAATTTTTATAGCGTAAATAAATATTTAGATTTACTATATGAGTATTTAATCTTCAAACTAATATATGTATATCACAGTCCTGGTATATCAGATTCAATGCATACAATGTAGAATTTTAAAAAATTTTAAACATATATGAAAGCGCATGTTTTTAAATCAAAAAGGTCAAACTTTCAACCCTTAAATCCGGTTTTCCCTCTTTTGGGGCCAAGAATAATTTAAATGGGTGAGATTTTTCTTTTAGCTAATTATTTGAAATACTTTATTGATCAGGAATAGTTTGTTGGATATTTAATCAAAATTTCTGTTATTTAAACTAAAATTATGTTAAATAGATTCAATAGTTTATTTTTCAATATGTTTTGTTAATTTAATTAAATATATTTGCTTTAAAAATAATATTTTTTGCTATTTCATTGGCTGACGTTGGAGGCACGACTATGACGTGAGTCCACGTGTACCACTGCAGCATTTAAAAGCGCTTAAACCGGACGAAACAATTTATAACATATCCCCGCAGTCTAGACGTAATAATGGATAAAAAAGTGCCAGTAATTACTACATTAGATGAACTAATACATGAATTACATCGAGTTTTTGAAAGCGATAATGTAAATATCGAATATGTTCATGATATAATGACTTCTTATAAGAGTAATTCTAAGGAATGGATCAAATACGCAAAATTCGATAGACACAGGTTAGTTTTATATTATATATTCTATTTAAAATATAATATTTTTACTAATTTATAAAGTTTCAAAATCATTTTTTCTATTGATTCATTGTTGAAACTTATATCAGTAAATTAACATGAAACAGCATTATCAAAAATACAAATGAACTTTAAATTGAAAATTGTTTTTAAATATACATTTTTTAACTTAATAATATTTTTCTTTGGCATTAAATTTAATTACAATAAAATATTTCTATATTAAACAATTCAATAGAATTTTACATATCAATTTTAAATAATTTTAAAAATTTTATGAAAGAAGTATTCGTAATAACATCGAATGCTATTTAATATTATTATTAATTAGAAAATTCTAATATATGTGCTAAAATCTTAATTTTTGAAGTTTTTTTTATTTGTTTTTGTTATCATACGTGGACTGATCAATGAAAAATAAATGTACATTTTCCCACAATAACACAATAACATGAGATGATCTTGTTAATGTGACCTTGGAAATGTGAGGACGAACTGTTTATTGCCTAATATTAAATATTGTTTCCAAGTAGTTTAAATAGCTTTAATCTTATCACTATTGTTTTTGAATAATTGATTATTATGTTATCCAGATAACATTTTAAATAAAACACAAAAACCTTTTGTCTTAGATTAATATTCGTGTCAATGATTCATATTTTATTCTTTACATCTGCATTACTTCTTAATTTTGAATTTATTTAATATAAATGATATTAAGTAAATTGTTAATCTGCTTAATGTAATTAGATTACAGTTCAAAGTTTAATAGGGGATTTAGGAAAACAAATTCATCATCAGATTAAAACGAAAGTATCAGCGTTAACATTACAAACAAATCATTGATCTTTCAAGGAGAATGATAAAAGATAAATTTTTATAAACTAAAATTAAATAAATATTTAAAATATATTTTCCTATTTAATTAATTTACAACGTCAGCATAGTTTTTCGATAAATATTGTTTTCTTAACAATGCAAAGACAAAACAAATTTCAAGTAAAAAATATACATTTTTTTTATTATTATTATTTGCTAAGTACACATGAATTAAAAGATACAAAATAAAAAAATAGTTTTATGATTTCACGTAAACATTTTATTATTTATCGTTTAAAATTGATTAACAGATTAATACTGAAGAATTGCAAAAATTCTTGTTTTATCTTTTAAGATGTAAGCATTTGCATTCTTTTAATGATTATCAAATTATAAGAAAAAACTTCAATCAGTTTTGAAAATTAATATAATTTTTATATCAAATAAAATTTAATTTAGCCTAATTAATTTTCTCACTATTTATTTTGCGATAAATAAGGAAGTAACTAGAGTTTCCTGATTATGTTTATGAACTTTTTCCCCTTTTGTGCCGATATCAAAATGAAAAGTTCGTAATATTTAATGAAATTTAATAAAATTTACGAACTTCTCCTATTTAATAATGTGATAAATATTTATATTTTTATTTTTATAATAGAAATATGCTTGATAATATATCTTATGTGAATTTTATCTCCTGAGTAAGTATTCACCAAATTTTACTCATCTTACACAAAACTAAGACATTTTAATTAGATAATACTAAGGCCTATATTATTATTTTTTACATGTTTAGACTTATATGTAAATTGTATACGCAAATCTATCGGCATATTAAATTTATATATAGACGCTGGCGTATAAATATGTTAAATAAATATTGCAGCATTTAGATTCCAATAAACAATTTTATAAATAAAACTAGAACAATCGAGCTAAATATACTGCATAATAAAACATATTCGATAAGTTAATCGTATATTAATTATTATACGAAATAAAATAATTAATTCCAGAGGAAACTCTAAAAGTTTTAATTCAATTTCATTTAAACTTTAGAACTACTTTTAATATATAATAAAACCTCGCTATGTGGCCATCTGGCTTACATGGCCCCCATTAAATTTCCCTGTAAAACTGCAGACAATTTAATTTAAATTAAAATCCATCTTGATCCACTTAAGTGAAATGATCATTTCGTTTAAGTGGCCAAGATAGAAAGGTTGTAAAGTAACATTTATCCCCGTTTACGTGGCCAACAGAACAGGAAAATTCCGCATTTCTAAATTCAACCTATTGTTTAAAGCAGTGATAAACAACCTTTTCTGGATGTTGGCCGCAAGTGAACTTTGTAGGCTTGTAACGAGACGCACTCATTTATTTTTACGGAGTTGCAGGCTTTAAGTCTACTGAGTATTAACATACTCTGTAACCGTCAGTTCATTAGATTCTAAAATAATATATACTAATGATATGGAAACTAGTAATGTTTATAGTTGTAAATTCCTTGACTATTTAAACTGTGGGTGGAAATTGTAATCGGATGGAGATGTGAACAGTTACAATGTAACCATGTGACCTGTTACTATTATGTTGAATTTTAGATGTTTGATTTTTCCCTTTGTAAAGTTTTTTAATGTAAATATTAAGCTAAATTTTAAATATGGGTTTTCACATCTGTTGTAGGTGTCTGTATTTACATTGTTGTGGCTGACGAGGGTCTATCGAGGACCGAAATGCATTCCACTAATAAAATTCTTAATTTCTCAATGTAATCTCGATTACTTGGCTCCATCGCAGTTTGATAAGTCTCATATCTCTACCAACTGTTTAATTGAGATAATTATTAAATATACTAATATTTAGTTTATTCTGATTTTTTCACTGGTCAAGTTTACTTTGAATGTTCTTCGTCACGAATATCATCTTAATTAGGGTAGTGTAATGACATGAGACAGAAAACAAGAAAATAAAATGACGTTGCATATTATTGATTGAACCTCACAGACCGCAAACGGCCTGCTGACCGCGCATTGTTATGTCTGATTTAAAGCACTTTAAACAGAATTAAACTTTGTTTCTATATTTTTAAACAGTTTCCGAGGTTTATATTAAACATTTAACAGGATTCAGTGCAGTACTCTAATTACAATTTCGTATATCAATTTTTTTCATAAGTGACCATCTAACTTGTGGCCAGAAATTATAAACAATGAAGGTGATCATATAAGTGAGTTTTATTTTAATTGATTTTATCTAAAAGATTATAATTTTCGATGCATTTACAATTCTATTAGATCAAATATTATGAAATTATAAACATTATTTATTTCTAAAGGAGCAATGAATATTACTTATTCTGCAGGATATTCAGAAAATAATTTATTAAAAATTTTTACTTTTAATAATTAATAAGTAACTTATTTTGTTCAAAAATTATTTTATTTATTTAGACTACTATTTATATTTTAAAAAAATATTTCGGTTTATCAAAATTTATTAAGTAGTCCTTTTGTTTTTTAACCAAATAACAATTATTTAACATAAAATATGAAAATGCGATTAATAACAGAGTGCTAATGATTTGAACAATTAATATTTGAAACTTTTTTTTCTATAGCATAAAAAATGTATTTATTTTGTTTGAAAGAGAAATTAATATTAAGCAAATTGAATGTTGTAAACAACGTGGAAGGTCTCGTTTCTTTTATGTAAACGAAGATGAATCATTTTAAATGTAATTGTTATTAAATTAGCACGGCTCAATTATATGAATAATAAATAATGCAATTACGATATTATTTAATCTATGACTAAACAAAATCAATTTAATTGTTTATATATATAAATTTTGTATTTATTATTAAAATAATTGCATTTATGCTGCACTTAAAACAGAATTTGGAATATTTTTCGTAACATATCGCTCTGTTTACAAATATTTGCTTTTTATTCAGTAAACTTTAATTTGTTATATAAACTAAATCATTCCTAATTCAACTTATCAAAATCTAAAAATACACTATGGATAAATATTGTTTATTTTCTAAATCGTATAACATGTTTATCTACTTTAATACTGCTTTTATATTAATTGCCTGAGATTCAATATTATCTGTAACAATCTTTAGAATTACTGTAGAATAATTTAGTATATACGTTCCCAACCTGTTCTCTAGCGATCTTTAGGGGACCGAGGTGGTTAATATATCAACCTACCTCTCTGGGGTCCCAGGACCGTATTCGTAAGGTCAAAAAACTCCAGGAATTTTTCGGAGGATTGTCTGTCCCGAATATATCAGGCCCCTTCCTACAGCACCGGTTGCCTTCATTATGGTGCCCAAAATTTAGAAACTAAACTAAATAAGCATTTGCATTCTTTTAATGATTATCAAATTATAAGAAAAAACTTCAATCAGTTTTGAAAATTAATATAATTTTTATATCAAATAAAATTTAATTTAGCCTAATTAATTTTCTCACTATTTATTTTGCGATAAATAAGGAAGTAACTAGAGTTTCCTGATTATGTTTATGAACTTTTTCCCCTTTTGTGCCGATATCAAAATGAAAAGTTCGTAATATTTAATGAAATTTAATAAAATTTACGAACTTCTCCTATTTAATAATGTGATAAATATTTATATTTTTATTTTTATAATAGAAATATGCTTGATAATATATCTTATGTGAATTTTATCTCCTGAGTAAGTATTCACCAAATTTTACTCATCTTACACAAAACTAAGACATTTTAATTAGATAATACTAAGGCCTATATTATTATTTTTTACATGTTTAGACTTATATGTAAATTGTATACGCAAATCTATCGGCATATTAAATTTATATATAGACGCTGGCGTATAAATATGTTAAATAAATATTGCAGCATTTAGATTCCAATAAACAATTTTATAAATAAAACTAGAACAATCGAGCTAAATATACTGCATAATAAAACATATTCGATAAGTTAATCGTATATTAATTATTATACGAAATAAAATAATTAATTCCAGAGGAAACTCTAAAAGTTTTAATTCAATTTCATTTAAACTTTAGAACTACTTTTAATATATAATAAAACCTCGCTATGTGGCCATCTGGCTTACATGGCCCCCATTAAATTTCCCTGTAAAACTGCAGACAATTTAATTTAAATTAAAATCCATCTTGATCCACTTAAGTGAAATGATCATTTCGTTTAAGTGGCCAAGATAGAAAGGTTGTAAAGTAACATTTATCCCCGTTTACGTGGCCAACAGAACAGGAAAATTCCGCATTTCTAAATTCAACCTATTGTTTAAAGCAGTGATAAACAACCTTTTCTGGATGTTGGCCGCAAGTGAACTTTGTAGGCTTGTAACGAGACGCACTCATTTATTTTTACGGAGTTGCAGGCTTTAAGTCTACTGAGTATTAACATACTCTGTAACCGTNATCGTATAGTTATTTAAATTGAGCTTTTGATTGTTTCAGGTATACTCGGAATTTAGTAGATGCTGGAAATGGCAAATTCAATCTGATGATTTTAGCGTGGGCTGAAGGACAAGGCAGTAGTATTCACGATCATTCTGATTCTCACTGTTTTATGAAAGTATGTATACTATAACATATTTTGAAACATAGTTCTTGGTAAATTGTCATTCAGATTGCTTTATCAAAATGAATTTAAGCAAGAAAGTATAATATATTGAATACTAAATTGTTTAATTAACGTAACAATATTTTATCAATTTCATTCTGGCATAATGGATTCATTGCTAAATCATACATTAAATATAAATAAAACTGTTTTCATTGATATAGATTTTTGCATCCGGTTGATAAAATCTACTAAAATGAAAGTTTACTGCTTATTATTTCATCAATGTTTCTCCTTATCAAATACTTTTATTAGTTTTGTTCCGTGAAATTACTAATCGCACTTAAACTTTGTACATGTATCATTGCTTAATTTAATTTTTCACATAACTTAATTTGCAAATTGGCTACAATAAATAATTTCACAAATTTTTTTTTTTTAATGGCGTACTTGTTTGAAAGAAATACTACTATATTTTCAGATGAATTATCGAAATTGTTTAAAGATTTTAAATAAAAGTTAATTTATGACTATAAATAAGTTTAGAAAATAAACTAAAATTAAAGTAAAAAGTGATTAAATGAATATAAATTTAAACTTTTGTATTTCGAATATCATTATATTACTCGTATATTACTAATACGTATTTTCTATTAAAAATATAAATAAATCAATATATATATTGATATATATAATGAGTTATTTATATTTTTTTGTCTTACATTTGAATTAGAAAATTTTGAAAAAATAGCCTCTAAATAGATTTATTTTGATTTAAATATTTCATAAGTTCATATATATCAATGGTTAGTTTTAATTATGTTTAGAGACGACGTAATATGATTAAATTAAACATTACAACCGAATGAACTAATGATTACGAAACTTTAATTAGATAATATGCTCAAAGGCCTTCATAATATATTATTATGCCTGCATGCTGAAATACATGAATCTTCGTTGTAGCTTTGAAAAACACCTGCAACTAATAGGCCTAATCGTAATAGTTTGATAATTTTCAGGAACTGTAACAGAAATTTATAGATCTGAATAATCAGCAATGCGGAAATTTAAAATATACATCAGAATAAGTAAAAAAATTTTAAATTTTATTTGTGATTTTAGATTAGTGCTGTTACAAGACATTTCCAATGTATATTGTGTTTTTAATATATCTATTAAATTCATTAATGAAGTTTGAGTTTGCTATTGATTTACTAGTGATAAACAATTAATATAATAGCGGATTATTAATTAAAGATATTTAGAACATAAAAGAATATAATGTTTTTATTTGTTATCCATTCCGTGCTTAACTGAATGTCACGTGAAGAATTGCACATTATGAAGAAAATAGGCGATTAAAGTAAAAGTAAAATTAATATTATAAATATTTACACAGCTTTATCAGTTTATAGATGAAAATCTTAATTTTTTGATTAATTTTAATAAATATCAAACGAGTATAGAGTATAAGTTATCTATTTATGTAAATTCTATCGGCCCTGTTACCAAGGTTATATATTTTTTAATATTTTACAGAAAAAATTTTCGTAGTTATTAAAATATTAGATTTTGCAAATTAAATTTGATAAGTAATAATGTATATTCTAAGTATAATATGAAATGTTATTCTCTCACCTTAATTAAGATTGTCATGTAAAGGCCATTTACATGAAATTAATTACTTTGCATTTTTGCATTAAAATTATATATTATAAAAATTTGATCTCATTAAAATACTCAATTTGTAAAAGTATTCTAATTTTTTGATTCTTTAATCTAAACTTTTAGATTAATGAATCAAAAATGTTTAGATTAGAATTATTCATCTTATCTAAAAATTTTATTATATTTCGAAATATAATAGTAATAAAATTGATTACAGCAGATATGATATTTATCTTTGTTTAATTCAGAAAATTCAGTCATATTCAAACTAATAAAATAATGATTATTTAAAAAATTCATCTATAAAAATATTTCTTGCAAACAGATTAGAAAAAAAAATTTGTTAAATGCTAAAGTATTTAACGAATTAAAAATAACGAGTTAAAAATATCACAATAATGAGCAATTATTTATTGTGACATCGTCACAATGCCGGGCTGCAATTTTTAATTATATTTTTAATATATTAATCAAATTACGCTCCATTTCAAATTAGTACTGTAATGACTTGCCCCTGTACACCATACTTTTTCTGTTAGCAATTGAGTCATGCCTTTCACCTATATAACTCCTTTCAGGGGAAAACTTTTGAATTGAAATAACGTGATTTCGGGTTTGTATCGGAAGGTCACATATAGTTAATCTGGGATTCATGCTCCTATGGTTTTCATTTCTGGTCTCATGTTTTATCTGTCTAACTCCGTTCTCGAAATTTAGGAAAAACAGACGGACGACAGTGGGAAATTTATAAATCTACAATTTTTTTTTCAAATTGCAGTGCAATAATTTTAGAGCTTTAGATATTTTGAGAATTTGCATGGATATTTAGTATTTCATATAAATATTGATCATAAAATGATAATGATATTACTAATTTACTTGTTATAGATATAATAGCAATTCATACCATAACTTCAAACCATGAAACTTTTTAAAGGGATAAATGAAGAGATATTCTTTCATTATCATAATTATTGTTTAAATCAAGCTGATCGAGCTTATATCAGATAATTTACCGTACTTCTGAGTGAGACAGAACATAGTTTTTCGACACTCCTTAAAGAATTAATTATAAGGTTCCAACTTCCAAACTATCTTACCCTAGGTTAGAAGAGCTGATCCAGTGGGGGCAAATGACCTGTTTCTCCAACAGACACCCATTCTTCAGACATTAAATATAAACAAAAGGAATGGACATTATATTAAAGTAATAAGTTTAAGGTGCGTTTCAAATTTATACGGACACGAAAAAATTAAAGTGAAACCCAAATTGCTGCAATAAGTGACAAATGTTTTATGAAAAATAACATGGATTTACATGTTTCCACATTGCAAAATAAGAACTTTAATCAAGCATTAACATTTTGTCACTGAAAATAATATTTTTGAAAATTTTGTACAAAAAACTGTTACATATTTATCCGGAAAGGTTTCAAATTGCAAAGTTTTCTTACAATTTAATGGCTAATATAACCACCATTTAACTTAATTACATTAAATACTCTATTAGGCATTGTTTCAATTAGATTCTGAAGAAATTCAATCTTAAGTTTATCCCAACCATCTGAAATTGCTGCCTTCAAATCATGAATTGTGAAAAACTGCTTTCCATTGGCATAAACTGTACGAACCATCATCCCCAAAGATTTTCCATCGGATTCAGGTCAGGACATCTAGCAGGCCATGTCATCAGATTAATATTTATTTAAAACCACATTTTTGTTGATTTAGAGGTATGCACAGGAGCGTGATCTTGTTGAACGATCCAATTTGGTCCACAAATATTTAGTCCAGCTTCTAATAAATGATCTTCAAGCATGCCTCGATACTTCTCTGAATTCATTCTTTGAGTTATAAATGCTAAATCTGTGTTTCCATTGAATCCAAACGCACCCACACATGATCCCCCAACCATTTGGCGTTTTGAAAATATTTGTTTTTCAGTTTTCAAATCGTGCTAATAATACTTACAATCGTCTGGATCATCTAAGTTGAATTTTTTTTATCACTGAACAAAACTTCAATCCATTCTTTGGACCATGCCATGTGTTTTTCTGCTCAATCAAGTCTGTCACTTTTTGCTTTAATGAAAGTGGTGGCATTACAGCTTTTTTCTGAATTTTCTGAACGTTGGATATTTATTTAAAACTCTCCACACTGTTGTGCTGCTACAAGGCAAGTCTAATTTTTGTTTCATTTTTCTTACTGATGTTTGTTTTTTGGAGCAAACCATGATGATTTGTCTACAATCTCGAGGTGTAAGCTTGAGCTTTCGACCTGTCTTGAATTTTGGTACATCCTTGCCACGTCTTTTTGATAAATAATCACCAACAGTTGATTTTAGACAATTTACATATGCTGCAATTTCTCTTATTGACTTGCTTTGTGATTTATAGGCATCAAACTGCCCTTTTTCATTATCAGATAAATTCTTTGTTCTACCGATTATAGAACTTTGAACAACAAAAAAAATTTATATTACAATTAGTTATGTAAGCTAATTTGCTTATTTCAATGCTTGAAACTAAACAAGTTTTTATTTAAGGCATAACATGAGTGACTTTTATTTTTAAAAAAACATTTGTCACTTAATGCAGCAAATTTGGGTTTCACTTTAATTTTTTCGTGTCCGTATAAATTTGAAACGCACCTTATTTAAAACAATAATAGTAATAATAAATATTTTTTTATTACATAAAGAGTTGAGTTAATATGCAACATATTGAATATTTTACTGAATAATCACTGTATAAACAATTTAGACAACATTACGCTTCATAAATTATACCGGCATAAACAAAAGACAAACGGGGAAAATACGTTCTGTGCAAAGCCTTAAAGTACAAAAGAAAAAAGTTTTAAATTTGAAATTACAGGTATTTATTTATAATTCTATTCTGTTCAAAATTTTTATATTATATTTTAAAATAGAAATTATCGTAAGGTTAATCTTTTTTATAAAGATCAGATTAATTAGANATTTTTGGACTTTTCAATTGCTTGTATAATAAAATTTAAAATTCTTAAAGAATGATCATTAAAATAACATAAATATTTAATAAATACAGTTAAGAATTATTGACTTTTTAAATAAACTCAATAGTAATATTTTCTTTCTGCTACAGTTGCTTCTAATTGGTCTATTTATTTTTAATTTTGAATACCGGTATACAGTATTATAATTTCATAAGAGTATAATAGTGTATTCGGCATGCAGATGAATTTAATGTTAATAGTAAAAGCACAAATTTATGTAAAAAAAAATATTATAACTTACAGATTAGTTTGAATTCATCATGTTAAATATAGCCTTTTATACGGAAAATACAGTATTTAAAATTTCTGTGGCATACTTTGTTAACTTTAAACCATTGCTTCTCAAACTGTTTAGTAATAATCTAATTTAAAATGTTTTATGGTCTTTAAATATATTAGTTTATTATATAATTTTATATTTATGTGAAGTGTTTTAGTAATTAATTAATATTTACAACGTAAACAAATACAAACGAATAATGAGCAATCCTCAGAACGTAGTCCATCTGGCTGCTTCCAATAATGGACAAGAAAAAAGGCTTTCTTAATACCCATACGACGGAAAGAGGCAAAAAATAATTTTAAAAAAATTGAAGTGAGAAAAATTAACGCTTTTAATTCATAAGAAACGGATTTTCGTTATATCGTTATTTTTAAAATTAAATTGAATGCACAGAAATTAAAACACCTTAATTTGTTGCCGAGAAATATATTTGAAAAACAAACGTTTTCAACCTGATTAACAGGCCATCATCAGGTCTAAAAACGAAAATGGAACAGATACGTTCCATGTATACGTTTGTTTTTCAAATATATTTCTCGGCAACAAATTAAGGTGTTTTAATTTCTGTGTGTAATTTTTGCTGAGCACTTTTGATGTTAAATTGAATGCATTAAAACAAAAAATTTGAAATTTTTTACAAAGTATTTAAATGTGTTTCCGGCCTCCTAGTTTGAAAAGCATTGCTTTAAACGTATAAAACGCTTTACGATATGTGAACGTTAGTAGTGTAATTAATTTCGAATGATTTTGTTGTTGATTGTAGAATTAAAGTAAAAATATCAAAAACTAAAAAAATATAAAAGAGAATAAAATAAAAAAAATAAAGAAATCGGTGCTACGAAATTTTCATAATTTTAGGCGAAACGAAAACCATATGTAACTGTTAAAGCATCGTTAAATGATATGAATGAAAATAAGCAAATATATTTTTTTTAATAATGGAAAGGATAGTTTTATATATCGAAACAAGTTATATTCGATTATAACTTATAAATATTTTGATAATAATTAAAAATACTACTTTTGTCAACATTTTTGTATCTAATATATAATCGAGACGGGTTGATGATAATAATAATAATAATAAGCGCAGAGCCCAAACGGTTAGGAGTTGAAAGTTGAAATTTGGTACACAGATAAGGTACGTCATGAAAACGCACAATTTCGAAAACGAGGAATTTCGAAAACGGATTTTTCGAAATTCCTCCCCACGGGGGAGAGGGACAGGATTAAGGCTTAAACACTTCCATCAACAATGGAAGTGCTAAGTAACAATGGAAGTGTTAAGTAACAATGGAAGTTTTAAGTAACAATAAAAGTTTTAAGTAACAATGGAAGTGTCAACAATGGAAGTGTTACGTAACAATGGAATTGTTAAGAGAAATCGACGTGCAAGACGCAGATGCAGTTTTTTTTCGTTTTTGCGGGAAATGAACATATTTTTAGACCCATCTAAAAATTCTCTAATTAGTCTGGAAACAAGAGGACCCAATTCTTGCATTCTGTGAAAACGGGTAAGGTTGACTGTAACGTAATAATCTTTATCTTAGTTATCGTTACTTTTGCCCGAGCAACGCCGGGCCCACCTGCTAGTTATACATAACTATGAACATTTTTCTAAATTATTGTGTTTACAGTGATTGAGAAAACTATTATTGATTGTTATATATAATGATCCATACAAAAACCTCTCATATTACAAAATTACGCCAAGTAAAAATTTAAGACAATTTAGACGACGATCAAAATTTTTCTTAGCAGTTTTTCTTTGGGAAGCTTGGCGTTTGGAGGCAAAACGTAGAAGACAATAAAACAGGTAAAAAAAACTTGTGGATATCGCTTCCAAGATCCAAGCTTGTCGTTACCAAAAAAAAAACTTCTAAGAAAAATTTTGACTGTGGTCTAAATTGGCATACATTTTTACTTGCCGTAGTTTTTTACATCTCAGATGTATTTTTAATTCGATATCAATTGTTTTTGTTTAATAATTGTATTATTACGGCATGACATAAGACGATGACATACAATTCGGAAGGCACTCGGCGATTGAACGCGTCGCCGACCGACGCTTTCGATACGTCGCGTCGTTTAGAAAAGTCGTTATAAAAAGTTTTAATTAATACAAATTTGAGCTTTTGTAATTCTGAGTAACATTTTGAATAAATTCATTTGCTTCCATGCAGTTTTATCCTTATAAGCTTGAAATTAAGCCGTAAAACTGAATTAGCTCTATAGAAACCTCCGTAAACTTTAACCTATCGACCCGGACGTTTGTCGAGCACCTCGCTGATAACGAGAAAAGCTTAAGTTTAAAATTTGAGCTTTCTAGACACAGTAGTTTTTTATCTACGAGCATCTGTAGTGCAGATAAAGAAGAAGAAAATGCAGCTTTTTTGAAAATTTTTGGACTTTTCAATTGCTTATATTTCGGCAACCGTTTTATAATAAATCTTGGATTTTGCACACTACCTAAGAAAACAATTACCTTTCGAACGAGATATTCGGAATTACTTCAGCTGTTTGGGAAACGGAGAAATCGACCCCGAAAATCTGCAACTCTGATTCCTGTGTATATAGTAAGTCAGTAACTATTTTACTTGGCAGGGAGTCACTGCCGTGACTCCTGATTCTCCTTATGCATCAATAGGTGAACATGAAGATGATAACAGAACAGTAGATAATAAATGAGGATGATCTGGAAACTAAGTCTGATTGTAACCTTTTCGGTTATGCACGCAATCTTTTGCAGATGGCTACTTGATGTTACTACAGAAAAATCCTTTTCCACATATTCCCGAAAATGGAAGCAGCTAAATATAAACATTTTATTTATTCTTTTTTTGCGTTAGAACCCTATTTAATTCTTTTATTAACTTACGGTTGAGAATTTGTAAATCAAGTTTGTTAATTTTATACGAATTTTCTACGACTTTAAAAATTTGTATAAAATTAACGAATCCGATTTTCAAAATTCTGAAGCGTATGTTAATAGAACTAAATAGAATTTTACACAAAAATCTGTGTTGAATCTATCTGCTTTTGCTTTCGGGAATTTTTGGAAAAGGATTTTTTATAGAAAAAGCATTAAATATTAACGTCATCTGCAGGAAATCGCGTGCATAACAAAGAAGTTGAAATCAATCTTAACACTTGTTCATTTAAGTAAATTATTGTTTTCCAAGTTGAAGGATAATACAAAACTTACAGAAGTTAATGTAAAATTAGTAATCTTATCTGGAGATTCTTTCAACAATGATAATAAACAGGGTAATTCACTCGGAACTGAACACTTATTATGCAGAACACCTCGGTATGAAATGAAAATACGAGCGTGAAACATGAACAAAACGATTCTTTATTTCATGACGAAGCAGTTCATCAAGGTGTTTTTCATTATGCAAAACATGTGATTCTGCAGCCATGACGTATTGAATAAAGTAAGTGTTTAGTTCCGAGTGAATGAATGACCCTGTAATATTATTTCATTATTATTTCAATACCAAAATAATACTACTGTATGTTGTGATTTTACGTTTTAATTTTATATGTAGCTACTTTATATGCACGTTTCAATAACAGAATTTGTTATATTTAAGTTTAAATTAAAATTATATAAAAATTTACTACATATTTTTATCTTTATAATATTTTCTATTTTGATTTTATGAATATTTTATCATAAATAATAAATCATTCAACACCTGATGCTGAGAAAACGTTTATTAAAGAAACATTAACGTTTTCGACCTAATATGATAGGCCATCTTCAGATGCAAACGTTAATGTTTCTTTAATAAACGTTTTCTCAGCATCAGGTATTGGATAATTTATTATTTAAGGAGCTGATTAAGATATTTGGTGAACTTTTTATCTTCATTTACTTTTTATAAATAAAAAACATTTCAATACAAATCATATAAAGTTATTTTTATATTATAATTTTTAATGCAATATTTATTAAATTTTCAAGTTTTAATTATTTTAAATAGATTTTGGATGGAAAATTGTTAGAAAGTAAATTTCAATGGCCACAGGATTCAGAGAATTCGGAAATGGTTTGTTCGGGAGAAACCGAATTAAAACTAAACGAGGTTGCTTACATCAATGGTAATTTTATATTTGAAATAATTGATCAAAATGTAAATATAATTATCCTTTTAATCATTGTTTCTTTTAATGTTTCAGATAGCATCGGTTTGCATCGTGTGGAAAATCCTAGTCATTCAGAAGTAGCAGTTAGTCTTCACTTATATTGTCCTCCTTTTGATAAGTGTCAAATGTTCGATCCTAGAACTGGACATAAAACACAATGCACTGTTACTTTCTGGTCTAAATATGGAGAAAGAACACCTTTCGTAAGAATCCTTCGATCTTACTTTTATCATTTAACAAAACTGTCAAATTAAATCGCCGAATGATATTTGTCTATTTAAAGATTTGCTATTTTCATTCTTTGAATCTTATTAACTGCCTGAGTTTAAGATAATAAATTTTAAAGATATGGAACAGACAGAAAAATTCCGTATCAACAAAATAAAATTAACATTTTATTACGTTAAAGAATTTAATAACTTGGGCTAAATTAGGACAGAAATTAGGAAATAAAATTTAAATAGCTTCATTTTACATGCTAGATAAACCATTGTAACATAAAATTTTATTACATTGTCGTTTGTATAGTTGTAATATATCTTTATGCCAAAGAAGGGTATATGATTTTCGATAAGCAATGATTATAAAATTAGATATGTGGGAAGAATATTCATAGTTTAGTTTAATAAAAAAAATCATTAATTCAACATGCGAACAACTTTATAAAATAGTAGAGATAATAATATTTTTATAATTTTCAAAATATTGCATTATAGTTATACTAGTAGCCTGGGACGCCCCCTAGTGGACGTTCTTTAAAAATTTCCATGAGTCACGGTTTCTTTAACTTTTTTGTTCCTATCAATATGTTCTACAGCTCTATTAAAATCCGAATGGTAAGATTTACCATCCGAATGAAGAGGTGGCGACCCTCCCAAACCGTAGACCCCTGTACTAACAATAAAGTCAAAGGAACCATACCCCTACTCGCGACCCTTCGAGAGATATACCCCTGAAATAATAAATTCCTATTACAAATATACTGAATTATTTATATTGTTATATTGACCAAATAATAATTTATTGGCTGAATGAATAATAAAAATTTATATTGTTAATTTAAATAAGAATTAAAATTGTTAATTCGAATGTTTTAAATATGACACACGATAGGGGCGCCTCTAGTGTCCGTTATCAAAAGGTTGCGGGACAGACGGACAGACGGATATCCGTTGAATGGGTTATATATGTTACCGCTAAAGCTCGGAAACTCGTTAATCTGCAGATTAACTAGCGTGATCCGTTAAAGTTGCTAAAATTGTTCTATTTCTCAAATTACCTAGGTAATGTGCAGATTATCTAGGTAATCTGCAAATTACCTACTAGGCACTCGGTAAAGTGAAAATAAGATCTTTGCTGAAACAACAGCAACGTTTCTGTACGCTTAAATTAACATAATGTTCTTTATTTAATTTTCGATATCTAAAGAATCAAGTTAATACAATCAAACAATCAACAAATTAGTTGANCTGACTTTGTAAACGATTTCAGCTATTTTTAGTTTATTTGTTTGTTCTTTTTGGTCTTGTGATCTTGTTCACTTGAAATGGTGGTAATAAAATTAATTAATAAGTAAATTTATTTTCATATTTTTCAAACAAACTTTCAATTAATGCATGGTAAAGAAATACTTTCTTTTACTCGTTAATATTTAACATGATATTTTCCATAAGCATATTTACGATATTATTTTTAACACTCTTGATGGATAAACATTTCATAAGTTCTTTCTAAATTTTCTGTCTTCTTTACTAGAGGTTCATGTCAAATTTTTTACATCATAAAAATATGATAGCATCGAATTACTGTCGAAATGGAGAGAATAGAAAATTTCACAATACTAGAAGGGAGATTTATCAGTTGTTTACGCATGAAATAGGCATTATTTATCATTTTCAAGAAATTGCTGTATTTCTTCTTGTCCTAGTGGAATGGAGTAGCCTACGTACAATTTCCTAATTAAAATAATAACAACAACAATAATTCCAAAAATGAGTCCCCACTAGACTTTTTGTAATTTTATATCACGCAACCAATAGACATAAAATTATAAAGTGATAAGTTAGTTGCTGAATTGTGTGGGGCACAATTCTTTTCATTCTGTTTCAAGCTTAATAGGTGTTGTGCTATTTGTCGAAAATTTCTGAAATTTCGCAAGGAGATTTGTTATTTACAAGGATTGATGTTAAATTTGAGTGATTAAAGGTCCAGGGATGGAGAGATAGATAATGGGGTCGTGTCTCATATCTCCAGTAGAGTTGGATTTAATTAATGCAGATTTTACTCGTTATTAAGATTTACAACATTTTTATAAAAAGTAAACAAGATTTTTTATTAACTTAATTTTGTTGAATTTATCGACCATTCCTGTTATGAAGCGAAAAGTTTACTTGAGAAAAGTGTACTTGGCGATGTCATTAATTGATGTTGTTCGAACTGCCTTACAAAAAGCCTTAAATCTTAAACATTTACGTATTACAGATTTAAGGGATAATCCGCCTCGCTAAGTATACTCCTCGCAAGGAAACTTTGATTACTCTGTATAAAAACTTAAAAAATATATAGATAATTTTACATTTTCATAGTTTCTTATACATTTTCTTCTTTACAGGAATTGACAAAATCAAACAATGTAATAAATAATCAACTTGAAGTTTGTGAAAACAACTGAATATTTTCTGATTCATATTTTTTACTTTTCAGTACTTTTTTTATAGAGATTTACTTAGAAATAAAGTATTCCTTTCTGACTTTTGTTTTTTATATTGTTTATATACATAATACGCGTTTTATTAATATATAAAAAATATTATTTTTCATTAAAATATATGAGACTTTTATTAATGCATTTATACAAATATATTAGGCCCTCGATTTAACGGACGAAAAATTTTTGTTCTGAAGTAAAAATTCAGAATTATTTAAAATATTTGTTAGGTTCAAAAACTGAAAATGCTTATTGAGCAAAAAAAAATCGACCACAAAGCAAAATTCGGGTCGAGATTCTTTTAATAATCAACCAAAACGCAATCTGGCAATGTGAAAATGACACAATGCTTTGTGGATGCTTATTAATGCTTAATGCAGACTGGACCAAATTTGATAAAAATATCTGTGCAAAAATACGTAACAAATTTCTTTATTATTTCGAATAAATTAAATTCTAATCTACATTGAAAATTATACGAAAGTAAAACAGTTAATATCATTAACTTATTAGAGGTGTAAGCTTTAAATTTCTAAGACATAAACTTCTATTTATCATTATTTTTTTTACTAATATTAATACAAAAATTTGTTTTCAGTTGGTCTCTTCGGGGAGCATCATTAAAAATACAATAAATTTGCAATTAATTGACAAAATGACTTGCGAATAAATTTCTGTTCTATACATGATGCAATTTTCTGTTACGCAGTCTCTCATTTTCTATTCGATATAATATCGGAAGCATGTGTGGGAGTCTCATTTCTTCGTTTTGTATAGTATCTATAGCGAACAATGCTTTTTGCAACACACTATTGAGGATTCTTGAACTAAACTGAACCAAAGAAACACACTATCAGGATTACTGTAAATGCTAAGAAGACATCTGATATGATAAAGTTATTCAAAATCATTTTGAAGACAAGGTGATGAAGATTGTCATCTGAAATATTTTGTCGACTTTTTCAAAAAGAAAACACCACATTAAAGAGAAACTTCTGACGAATATTGTGAAGACGGATAACACTTGGCCATTCATAGGGTAGATCTGAACACGCATATTAATTATGTTGTGATCAGAAAACGATATTCTTGTCATTCTAACATTATACAATTTGATCTATTACTGTCTTCATCGGGCAAATACTTTTATCATCTGACGATTAGAGTGGAGAATAGCAGCAGAGCAGTCCGCAAAAAAAACAAAAAAAAAATTTACTTGATGAAACTGATTTGAAAAGGCTTTCGAAACGTGCTGAGCAGCCACGGGATTCAGTTGTAATCGGATGTGCTATTCACACGAATTTTACTGGTAATAAACAAAAATAAAGTTGCTTGAGAAACTCTGCTTTTTTTATAGTGAGTCGCCCTTTCATCTCTGGTTGATACAAAAAGTCACAGTAAGCGAAAAAGTAATCTGGAGAATAACTTTTTATTTTGGCGAATGGATTGGCGATTGCTATAAAAATGCCAGAATGATCCCTGCTTTGGGTACTAAGAGCAAATTTTTTTCATACGCAGCATAGTTTCAGTCAGGTCCATAATGGCGGTGGTTGAGTGGCATGAGACCTGACACATACGGAACAGAACCGCTCATGAAAAGTTAGAGAGAGTTTTCGCCCTAGAATGGTAAACTGACACCTTAAGCCTCGATTTCACTTGCAAGTTTCCAGCTACAAGAGAGTTTTCTTCCTGGAAGCGATGGCGACAATCGTTCAGTGGAAAAAATATAGAACTTTGTTGCAGCTATACAGTTGAAAACGCTAATACATCATCCAAATAGATGCACAGTCACACTTTCGTGCATGAAACAGCTTTTATTGTTCTGACGTCAGTTACATACTACCACTTTATTAGTTTACGAAAACGGTAAATTTTAGCGATAACGCAAATATTTAACAAGCAGGAAATTTTCTTAATGCAGTGTCAAACCGTTAGAGATTTGCCTTGTGGGATTGTTTTTATTGTAACCGCCGCTAGAAACAGCAAGTAAAATTAAAATTTGACATTTCTGGATCATTCATAAACTTTTAAATACTCCATTCTTCGCAATTTCAATTTAGTAATGACTTTTTATCGTTTCACAAGTTGCATTAAATTGATTTAGAAAAATAATTTGAACTATTTCGAATTATTGAACATATTCTTCTGTATATTGTAAGATTAGAAAACATAAAGATTGAAAATATAATATTCTATTTTTAATGTTTAACATTTTTGTTGCCATTACTTTTACATTCGATTTACAATTCTGTACATGAAATTTATATTATAAAGATTAAATTAGTAAAGTTAAATTAGTAAAATTAGTAAATTAGAAATTAGCATCGCAATTCTTTACTACAAAAAATACAATAGAAAAATACAAATATATGTTCCAGGAAATCAAGCAATGCGATCAATGATAACCCGAGCCACATCCCGCTATAACCACCAATATATCCATTAATTTCTGTTGGCTGAAAAATATTAAATATTTACTATTAGATTTAATATTTCAAAAGCTCATAAATTTATTTCTAACATATATACATTAAAATAGCTTTTTATTCATTCTGATTGTTTTATATATAATATGTAATAAACTAATTTACGATATTATAATACAGTATACAATTTTAATCTGTATTGCATTTACGTAACTAACTCGTATAAAGTTTGAATTTATACATATTTATTGTTTCTTTTAATTCGTTTGAAAACATTTTTAAATTAAGAACATCTATAGGCTATACAACTATAACAACCTATATACATGTACTGTACATTTACGTGTATGCGCGCACGTGTATGCCGAGGTATATATATTATAGTATAATTTTCATTTATATTTATCATTTTCAATTTTCATTTCTTTGCAATCGAATCATTCAGTCTATGTTGAAAAGTTCAATATTGTATTGTGTAAAATATGTAATTTAAAACGGAGCTTTACATATTTTAACTCATTTCCTTTTTCTGAGTATTTATCTTGATGTTTCTGTGCAAATAATTCGACAAAAATTTATTGAATACGATATATTTTCATTGATTTCGTTTGAGCATATTAATCACAATAATTGTTTATGATTTTAGTAAATTTAAACATATAAATAATAAGTAAATGAATAATCATACTATAATATAATACAACATAAATTTGGACAATTTTCAACGACATTCTGTTTAAATTAAAGACGGAAGGATGTCGCAGAGGAAATGATTTTTCTAGAATTGCTAAATGTATTAACTAATGAAATTTGCTATCTCTAAATTTGAAAAAAGTATATAATTTTTTAGATAAAGTTTTAATTTCGTATTTTAATTAAACATTTTCATTTTTGGTTTATTTCAATTTACAAGAAAACCAATGATATAAGTTTAACTTGCATTGTGACATATAATAAGCAGGAGTAAAATGGATCAGTTTCATGAAAACCATTTATTGTAAAAAAAAAAAAACCTATAACATAGAAATTTAAAGTAACTGCGCTATAAAAAGTATGACAACGAGAGATTGAAAGACCATAAATCGCAAACACCCAAGTTTATTGGGAGTTACGATATTACCATTTCAAAATATATTGTAAAACAATCCACTTCCATATGAAGTAAAATAGATCGCATGCTTTTCCATTATGATAACCGAACTAATTAAATACAAAATAACTTACATTAAAACATTACATTACCAATAGTTACAAATTACAAACTGACTACGTTACGAATTGTAAAGTAGAACAATTAAAGAACATTATTTATACAATGGGCACGAAAAATAGTCATCTTAGTGTCCAAAATAGTGCCAAAAATGAAAATGCGAGTCTTGTTCCTTGCCATCATTGTGTAACTAGGAGCACAATGATGATAAGGAACAAGACTAGTAACCAGAACACAATGATGTGTTCTGGTTACTAGTCTTGTTCCTTATTTGTCCCTCCTTTATCCCTCTGTTTACGTTAGTTAGGGCCATTTAGCCTAGGAGAAACCAAGACTCCAGATCTCTATCTAGTTACCCCTAATAACTCCTGGCCAACTCCCATTGTAGGTTAGACCTTACCGTTTGAGTATAATTCAAGATCTGTTATATATATATTCATTTGTACTAACGCTATGATATTAGACAAATTCTATTCGTGAAAAAATAAAAAAACAACCTATTCTCGTGATCGTATAGTATAAAATGACAGATAAAATGAAAAGAGCATAAGAAATAGTCATTATTTCTATACTGACAAGTAAGTTTTCATACAGCATCTGTGGATAAATTTTCATAAATTCTAAAAATCCATTTCTCCTCCTCTAAACCAATTCAAATTATCCCATTCGTAATGCAGTACCAAAAAAAGTTTGGTTGTTGACTATCTCCACATTAGGCCCATCACAGCATAATTTCGTCAAAAATTTCTCTATTTTTGCCTAATAACAAATTTTTATTTTTTTTTGTAATTCTATGAGTAATACTCCAGTTTATAGCTAGTGTTGATAATAATTTATAAAGTATTTGCCTGTTATCGTCGCTCATGCATAGACATAAAAAGATTTTTTCGATGAAATCGAAGCGAGTTTCGCCAAGTACAGTACTTCCTTTCTTAACTTCTAGAAAATTGAACGGATCAGTGGCATATAGGGACGAAACATAAAAATAAGATACTAAAAGCTTAGTGTATCCATTTCACTCCAATTTACTCGACTATTATCATCACAGTCTTACACCGAAGAAAATTTAACTGTATATATAAATACAGAAAACATATACTTTATATAAAACAAAGTGTTAATAATTTTAGTTTTAATGTGTCATTCATTATGTACAAAATATTAAAATATTTTCTAATATTTGAAATTTGGCTATTTATTAATTCATCCTACAAAACAGTATTCATATAATGCATTCGGTTTTAATTAGTGGGCATTATATAGGCCTAATAAAAATAAGCTAAAAGCAATTTCTCTCTCTAGTCATTTTGACATGGATTAGTTGTTTATATTTTTTCCTCATTAAAAATAATAAAAAAGGTTTCATCATTGCAAAATAAATTTTTGTTAATTATAATGTCTTTCCAACCTGTGGTTATTAAGAAGGCCTTTTACATCATACCCATCGTGAGTTCGATTAAAACACAATGGGGACAATGGAGTCGGCAGAATAGTGAGGAATGAAAAGAGACATATCAGGAACAGACAGCCCATTAAAAATTCTTAGGAAGTTGCTCGATCAGATTCATTACGGGTTCTCCTAGGACACCTTAATCTGTGACTACAAGCAGTCCTCGGTCGCCATTTTCTCTTTGCATAATCGAGAATTTTACAATTTTATTTCTTTTTTATTTAAAGTTTTAATTTAGATAAATGAATTATGAAAATTATTCCATAAACATATTAATTTAAAATTATCACTTCATATTAATGAAAATTGATCAAATTTATTTATTAAATTATTATTCTCTGGATTTTTAAAGACAGAATTATAAAGTTATTTATGCTCCTTAAGCTTTGTTAATAGAGGATACTAAGAAATGTATTTCAATTTTCTATTGTATACCAAATAACAATTGATTTGGTATGGAAACCATATTTACTTATTCTCTATATATGTGACATCATAACAAAAATATTATAACTATAAAAATTGCATAACTTCTCTCTTGTCTTCTTACCTTAATAAGATTTTTAACCTTACAAGAAGAGTATACAAACTCCTTATTATGTGAACAGTAAAAAAATTTACGAAATTTAAAATCAACATTGCTATTATGCCAGGAAGACGCACAAAATTTGTGCAATCTGTCGATATTTCTCGGAAAAAAAGTTTTAAAACTGCATATTTTTGTATTTCAAGCATTTAGACGCAAGAAGATCACAACGAATAGGCGGCAAACAAATGAATGCAAGAACTTTCTTTGGAAAATGAGTTGAGGTGTATTGTGCAGAAAAGGTCTGAAATTTCGGAAGAACAGATTAAAGCTTCATTTCTGAAGCACATCATAAGTACTTCTATCTATTGCAGAGTAGATAGAAGATAAAATAAAATTATGACATGCTTCAAAAGTGAAGATATGGAACAGGATAGAAACTAATTTGAAATAAATTGACGAATATTTTGAGAACATCGATGAAGAACAAAAAGGAGGAAATAAAATACCTAATATAAGAAATCGTTTTCGAAGAAAATGCTAGTGTCGAAACGTATAATCATGATAATAAAAGCCTTGGACATGTTACTCAACCAGTCTCTAGTTTATTCTTTTGTACGCATAATTATTTTGCGTTAGTAAACTTTGACTATAACTGAAGATTTTGACATGTTGACAATACAAAAAGTTATGAGAAGTTGAAAAAAGCATCTGCGACAAAAAATACTTGGACAGAGACATTTCTGATTAAAAAAATATCTCCGATATTACATTAAATGACCTGTAAATATGTAATTGTGTCGACGGATGATATTTGCATTTTTCCGTATTAATATTATTGGGGTATGTTTATTTAATGAAAACGACACCTAATAAGGCTGTAAGTGTTGATACACGTGAAGTAATTTTCACTTTTCATAGAAAGTGCTAATCATTAAGAGAAATTGAAAAAGAACGAGCAAGTATTATTGTAACATCATCACAATGCCGGGCTGCAATTTTTAATCATATTGTTAATTTATTTAATTTAAAATATATGCTCTCCACCTCAAATTAATAGTATCTTGCCCCTGTTCATCATACTTTTTCTGTTAGCACCAGAATCATGCCGGTCATCTAACTCCATAAAAATAGTTAGATAGATGACCTGCATGACATAGATGAAATAGATAAATATGAATATTAAACTAAAATTTTTGAATTGAAATAACGTGACTTCCGGTCTATATCGGAAGTTCATATAATCCAGGCATTCTGTCCTGAAACTTTCCATATCTCGTCTCAGTTTTCATGTATATAACCCCGTTCTCGAGATTAAGGAAGGAAGGACAGACAGGCAACAGTGGGAATTTATAGGTCTACAATTTTTTCAAATTGCAGCTTGATTAAAAATTGGCAAATCCACAGTATGGTAATTATTTAAAAATATTAAAAACTGGTAAAATTTATCCATAAAAATAAACTGAAGAGCCAGTAACTATAACAAAGACTGATCACAAGTACCTTCGTGAAATAATTTAAGAAGATCGAGGTACTGTACATTACTCTGTGAATTAATGAATGAATGGAATACAGCTATTGGACAGGAAGTTACTAAAGAAACTTGTCATATATCTAGCTGTACAGATTTTATTACAGCATACATCAGGTAAAATATATCATTATTTTTACTTAAGAATTGTGACACATGATCTATTTACTTATACAAAGGCTAAACCACTTCTCATAAAAACACAGTAGATAGAAGACAAAATAAAATGAAGACAAATAAAAACCTATTGAAATGAGCCAAAGAGCACCAATGCTGGACAAAACAACAGTGGAAGCAGATTGCATTTAGTGATGAGGCAAATTTTGAATTTTTCATTGGAAGCAGTAGAAAAAAGTCATCAGGAAACGAGAAGAAGCATTCCAGAGTGACTGTTCGTAAATATGTAATTGGAACATGCGAATTTACATAGAATAGAGGCGATGGATTTCAAAAATTAAAGAAAACTTTTCAATTAATTTAAGAAAAACTGTTATCGCGGTTTTGATAACATCATTTCTAATTTTAGTTCGGTTGATTCGTTTTGTTTTATATTTTTTCTTACTTTACATAATTTTCGTGCGTTATCATACTGCACTTGACACTACAAATAAAAAAGGAAAGATCGAACAATCTAATATAGACTCGCTGATGTTTTATGTATGTGGATAAATAGATGGTTTCATCGTCTGCGCGGAAATCATCACATGCAGAAGAAACGCAATAATATTTAACGAAATTAAAATTCTTTTTGTGATATCTAAACCCACAAGAACAGAGTAACCTTTAACTACCATTGATCCTGTAATCGACAATATAAATAGAGAAAAATACTGTAAAGTATGAGGAAAATACTACAAAAAGCATATACAGTGGACTTCGTACTTCGAACGACTCTAACTTCAAACGCTTCAGAGTTCGAACTCTGAATTCGACAAAAATTTGCTTCGGATTTCGAACGATGCTTCAGAGTTTGATCTGAACATTCAGAGAAAAAATGTGCTCGAATGTAAGTCATCTGTCGCTCTCACATTACACTTGTATATTTTCAGTGCTTTTTTCTCTTCGTTTTTGATATGTTTGGTTATATATATTGTATGTTTTTGGTCGAGTTTTAACAATTTCTTCCTATTAAACAGCTTCCTCAACTAATTTGTAGCATATTCTTTAAATTGTATATGAAATACGCTTATTACCATATATTACTTTATTAAGAATCTGTATTGTATATTTTTATACATCATAGTGTTAATATGTATATGAAAGGAAACTTATGTCACAATAAACTAAACATTCAAACTAAAATTTAAAATGATATTATTGAAATTGCGATAATAGTTTGTCTTTGATTTACGGAAAAGTTTTCTTTAATTTCTGACATCCGTCGCCTGTATTCTGCATAGTTTCGCGTGTTTCGTGAAAAGTTTTGACTAAATAACAAATACTTTTTTCCATTATTACGTGTCGTTTGTGAATTCGTGAATTTTTAATCACCAATCGTGAGAATAATTGTAAAGATCTTATTTTTGAAATGTGTATTTTCTTTCGTGAAATCTTTTCGCTAAATACTGCAACAAAATGTAAAAAAACTGAATTAAATTTAGCTTTTAAATAATTAATTACTGTACAAATTAAATAAAATTAAATGAATTTAAAAAGAAATTAGATATTTTAAAACAAAATTTTAATATATTTCACTTACTGTAACCACTGTTTTATAATTGTATTCTACAATTGTATCGTCTTCAAAGACGAAAGATATTATTGTTTTTCCGCTTCTGAAAGAAAAAAAATTAAAATTTATTTATAAAACGAGAATAAATTATTGTGAAATCTGCACAATGCCGGACTGCAATTTTTAATTATACTTTTCATTTATTTAATTTAAAAGTTTTAAAAGTTAACGCTTAACTACAAGCAAAGATTTCTTTTTTCAAAACATAATACAGTAGAGTCTCGAAAACTCGGCACCCGATAACCCGGCAGTCCGGATAACTCGGCCACACCCTGGCAGGGCAAAAAATCCTTAGTTAATTAATTTTCATTATAGACAGTTTTATGCCTCATAAAGTATTTTTCTGAAGTCTGTCTTATCAGGTAAATTACTGTACACAGTGTATTCATTAATTTTCATTTTCATGCAGTAAATGCTCTATGCCTTCATAAAGGACGTACTTTTCCTTTGTTTAAGGGTATTTGGGCAGTTTATTCTCTGTTGTATTCTCAAGTAAACAATACATACAAGTATTTTCTGAGGAAAACTCATACTTATTATTTTTAACCCCATTCCCGATAACCTGGCATTTTCACAAACTCGGCCACCCTTCAGGCCGAGTTTTCGAGACTCTACTGTATTCAAAATCATCTTTGAAGTTACATAATTTGTCATTTTAATTAAATATTCTAAAGATAATTTTACCGTTATGATACAGACGAAATATAAATTCTAGAATTGATTATGACAGCTTTATTAGCTTCTAGAACTTAAAAAATTGTAAAAATATACAACATTAAAAACTTATACAAAAAGAAAATGCTCGGCGATATGGAACTTTCAAACAATTTATATAAATAGTATATAGGCAGCGTAGAGCCTATACAAGAAGGTCAACTCCGAAGTCTTGCTTCTGTTTATGTTCCTGTAATAATGAAAGGACGTTTAAAAGACCTCAAAAGTTTTTTTTTTGCATAAATAATAAATCTTTAATGTCGCATATGTTTACATTTTTAAAACATATATTTCGTCTTAGATTCATTAGGTTCTAGGATATTAAAAATCATGAGTCTGAACTAGATTTGATTTAAATAGTTTTCAGTATGTATTGCATAACATAAAAATAAACCGAAATCGATGTTTTGGTATTTTTGAAATCGATGTGTTTATAATGTAAAATAGCTCTTAATAATAAGAATTTTCTTTTAATGCTTATTTAACTTACATATTTACATGAGATGATGCATTCATTAGTTTGATCAGGACTTCATTAGATTCAGTATTGTTATCATATTCACCAGGACTAAGAATCTAAAACATTTAAATTTATTTTATTTAAAACATAGTCGGCATTTGATACTAATAATAAATAATAAACTAATTACCTTCATTGTATTTTCAAATGGTCTTTTCTCCACGACATAATTAAATATTATTCTTCTGTTAAAAAGTTATTAAAATTTTTGAAAAAATGAATATATCTTATTTTTTGAAATATATAATAAATTAAATAATAATAGAGAGGTTGAGGCGCACGTTTTAAACGTGTAAACGTGTAGGTGTGACGTTCGGCGCCGCTTTCCCGTAAGCCTAAAAGTTTGACGATGGTGTTTGGAATGTCGAGCGTGATTCCACCGACTATCCAAACACCATTGTCAAACTTTTAGGCTTACGGGAAAGCGGCGCCGAACGTCACACCTACACGTTTATACGTTTAAAACGTGCGCCTCAACCTCTCTAATATATAATAGTTCAACCGGAACGTCTGAATGATTTAATTTTTTAAAATGTAATTTTTAATTTTCACGAACAAAGATAAATTATTACGTAAACAAATATTAAGGCCATAAATGCAAATGACTTTTTCAATATAATACGGACCTAGTATAGGATAAGAGAAAACTGACGCGAATAGAAATGAGAAAAAGAAAAGTGATGCTTTTGAATTCATGACAAGAGAAATTCTAATATTTCATTCTCGTACAAAAAGGACGAATCAACAAATGCTTAACATAAATTATCTAGTTTCTGAGATAATAAGTTGCAAACAAACTTTTTATTTTTGGCCACATTATACATGTATATAATAAATAAATTAGGAAAAGAATTACAGTGCAATCTTGGTAATCCGTACGTTTGTTAGTTGGTAACGTCCAGAAATCCGACACTATTCGACTTTCGGGTTAATATCTAGTTGTTTCTTCCAATTCCCTGTAGCTTAAACTCAAATTCCCACTAAATTTGAAGATATTTCCACTAAACGTGGCCTAACCTAATATCAATCTGAGCTTTAACATTCGCTTATGACCGCGATATTTTAATTAATTAAGAATGCTAGGATCGACATTTTAGGCTGCTCAAAAGCAGGTATACAATATTTTATAACACAAACACTGTATAAATATAGATATAAAAATTAGTTTCCAGAATTTCCTACCAAAAACATCGTATTTCCCCAATAAATGTTCTACGGCTGCTTCAATTTCCACTAGCGTTAGTAGAAATCCACCAACTTGGCAGCATAATTACCGGCAATGACAGAGCGCTCGGATGAGAAAACGGCAAAAGACAATTGAAAAGTAATTTTAAAAGATTGATGATTAATTAGAGAACTTTAAAATTTGGCAGCATGTGATCTACAACTGTTTTTGATTAATACCATGTACTAATATCGTAAAAATAAACAAATGTTCTCTTTCCTAATGATTAAACCATTGAATTCACCTTACTTCCACAAATCAGATAATCTCCTTAATAAATATGATATTGTTCCAGTCCAACATTTGTCGGCTTACCACAATTGTACTGTACTATTGATTTTTAATTTTTACAGAAGAAAATAGAAGAAAAGACAGAACAGGAGAAAAACAGAAAGCATATAAAACAGAATAGAATTAGCAAACTGGAATAACTCTATAAATAATTGCATATTAAAGACGAAAAGAGAGTCCTACATCATAAAAAATCTATAACTTATTATTATTACTTAACGATTTTGGACATATGAGCACTGAGGTTCTATGGAAGGCATATCACACACTTTTAACGTTTGTCAGAGTAATCAAACAGTAACGGGCGAACAGAGTTTTATTATTATTACGGTATGCATTTCAGACAGTATATCTGTCCCTCATCAACCGTGTTTGTTACAATTTAGTGGGTTTACAGGACTCTAATATACAAGCGGTATTATGTTACTAAACAATGATTAATGATTAAAATAGTTTAAAAGTACAATTTATACATAATTAAATGGTATATTGTATTTATTGCCAAAACGTGGATGTTTTCATTATTGGTTTTTTACAGACATTTTTTATTTACAGTACAAACAGTAACAGAAATTATACATGTTGTTTAATGCATTAATTGTAAACTATGGAAACAAACAAATAGAGTTATAAGCAAAGTTTACAGTTACAAATGTAAAAGTTTTTTTAAGGGTTTACATACGTTTTTGCAGTCTGTCATCTCGTACCAATTAGACTATGTTTACTACTACTAACGCGATGCTACTATAGGATGGTAAGCGGTAGGTGTTTTAGGAATTATCTATAGGCTAACTGGTTATAGATGTTTAAGGGTACCAGATGGGATCTAATTGTACCCCAGTATTTTCGTCTATTCTTACGTTATCATAGATTTTGACTATCTCTAAATGGCCGAAGTGCATAAAACTGTATTCGCCCGTTACTGTTTGATTACTCCGGCAAACATCAACAATGTGTGAAAAGTCTTCCATAGAGCCAAACCTTACTGCTTATATATCCAAAATTGTAATATAAGGACAAAAAGCAAATCACCAATTAACGAATTGTTAATATTGGAAAATGATAATTAAATTTACATTTAATAATAGCGTCGGGATAAAAATCGTCCGTCACACGATTTCCCGCGCTTTTCCATTTTTCGACAAACGACGGTTGTCGCCATAGAAACGGTAATCTGACAACTTTTGGAAACTCGACCGTGGATTGGTTGAAAGACATCGGACCATCAGCGGACGTCTTGTAGCGCTACTAAGCGCTGATTGGTGGAAGCCGATTTACTTCAATCCGTATAAAATTATTGAGTTGTGGCGGGAAGTTTAGTTCGCCTTGGACACATGAAGTGGACTCACGTTTGATTTTAGTTCGTCTCGGACATATCAAGGGAACTCACGGTCGTTCTAACTTAGCCTAAGCTGACCTAGAAGATTATTTCGTCTCAAAGTGCGGTAAATAACATTAGAAGCTTTCGTCGCAAGGTGTCTTTCCCACGGACCTGTTGTAGTGGATACATGCAGAGCCGGCCCTACCATAGGGCGAACGGAGCAGCCGCTCTAGGCGCTAAGTCCTAGGAGGCGCCTCAGTGGTAGAGAAAATAAAAGGGTATAAATTAGGGGCAACCAAGGGGGCGCCATAATGGGATCTCGCTCCATCCTAAAACTTGCCTCGGGCCGGCACTGGATACATGTGTTGAACTTTGTTAACATCTGACGTTTGTAATTGTTAATTGTGAAAATTTTTGTAACTGTACATACGTTTACTTTCAATATATATATAAGTTTTTGAATTTAACTGGCATATGAGTTTTGAACTTGACTAATAGCTATTTATTATTTCTGCAATAAAGTTTTCGAGAATTCTATCCTTTCTTACTAAGCAATTATTCTCATAAATATGTCCTAAACTTTTTAACAAATAATTCTTTAAAATACAGTACTCGTATCCGTTATTAAAAAATAATTTTCATCACTGTAGTCAGGAAATAACATTTTCGTCTGTAGTGACTTGAATAGACATATTAAGAACATATTCATAATTTAAACTATTTTAAGATTTATTTTAAATTAAATTGCTGTTATTCCAATATGTAATCACTGCAATTCATTTTATATATAGTAGATGTGATTTGATATTAATAGACTGAAGTGATTAATTATGAAGTACAGTAGAGCATCGATTATCCGACCCCGATTAACCGTCACATCGGTTAACCGACCGTTCTAATCGGCAAATTTCAAATGTCCTCTAGTGATGTGACATTACAATATTTGGCTATGTCTTGGCTAGTTTAATATTATTTTTGTTAAATTTTTGCGTACTTTAGCTGGCATCAACAGCTCGACCATTGAAGGGAGGCCAGTATTTAAACGAAACTTAATTTTCTAATTATGAGGGTTGTTTGTTTGTTTCGTAAGCAATAAAATAATTTAAAAATAATTTTTAACGATATAATAGCGACGATTATTATTTTTAAAAAATTTGTTAGGCTAAACATCGATGAAAATTCAACGCGAAATTGGTTAATAGCGATATACTAATAAACTAATTACATGGGATATACTAATATCCTAATATACTATACTAATATTGTATTTTTTCATTCTTTTCGGTTATCCGATTTTTCAGTTATCCGACCAACCTGAGTCCCCAATTGAGTCGGATAATCGATGCTCTACTGTTGTCAAATAAACATACATAAACCAACTTACTCGCAAGGTGTAGGACACATATCATAACATTCATCAACGTCCAGTAAAAGGAAACATAACTTATCAGCTAGAAAATAATCATACCGAAAATATCAAAATACAGAAATCTATAAACATTTTGAAACAGTAAAAGATTAAATTTACCATATTTAGAGCATAACTGTGAAAATTTTGTGGCAAAAAGATAATACGAAGTACAGTTGCAAATTTCGAGAGTTAACTTATTAATACAAGACTTCACGCAAAACTGGAATAATATAAACATAGCTCATCAGAATATTTATTATTAGTAAATTTAAATAAAATAAAATTATCAAATAAAATTGCATACGTCTCTATCGTAATCTTTATGTAAATGTTTTGTTTCTGTACAATTTTGTGTCGTCAAAAATTTCTCTTTTTTCTGTAAATTAATTTAAGTAATAAAATAAATAATTTAAAATATTTGTTATACATTATACAAAATTTTTTGTAATCATATAAATATGAAATTGTATAAATTATATAAATATAATTATATAGAATTTAAGTTTGATAAACAGAGAAGTCGAATTGTATTCTGAATGACAACTTTGCGTTGCAATAATTGCAGACATTCGAAACAAGATTGACGAAGAACTTTCGTATTTAGAAAGGTGATGAAATTCCGAAATATGAAAGTTATATGTAAGATATATCGATATCGTTACAAATACAGTCGATCCCCCTATAAGACGGTAGATACGTTCCGTTCTTTATGAATCAATTTTGTAAGAATCACAGCCAATCACAGCTCGACACGCGTGAAGTTTACGGACTACGGCTGTTTGAAAGGTTTTCTTCCATAAAATTAATCGATTCTAGACTAATTCGACTCAACATTTCCAAAATACGTATATTTTTTTGAAAATAATCCGTATAAACTACGTTATAAACAAAAAATTGTAGGATTGCTTACCGAGTGTGTACCGTTCGACTACGCCCGTTGCTAAAGCTTGGTTTCGTCGCGGAACAGCGCATCAAACCGCGGCCGCGATTTCTGATATTATTTTTCTGCGAAAACTTCGTTGAACTTTGGAGACATCATTAATATAAATAATTTTTATGGCCGTTGAATAAGAAACGTTTCTTTCACAAGAAATGTATAAAATTACAGTACTGTATTAGACTTACGGTATCTAATTTACATACTGTACAGACAATAGCTCGCCTAAACTCTCCGTAGCGTGGCGCTAGACGGCGGAAAGTATATATATAATTATAATAAAGTTACAATAAATTAAGTTAATATATAATTATATATACAGTATCTAATTTATATATAATTTATATATAATTATATGTACAGACGATACTAAACTCAATTTACCCGCCTAAACTGTCCGTAGCGTGGCGCTGGACGGCGGAAAGTAGTTCGGCTGCCCGATGACGTTTTACGTAATTATAGGAGGTTTTTTTACCGTTGTTTACGGATACCGCCACAATTTTTCGCCGTCTTATAAGAATCGTAATTATAGGAACACATCTTATAGGGGATCTACTGTAATCTTATATCAAAGCTGTATTCACTATTTTGCTACTCGAAATTGTCAATATTTCAAACAAAAAGTAACAATATTCGTTGATATGCATTTCATGAGAATAAAATTCAATTCTCTACATACGTTAGCATTTACCAGTGAAATCAAGACATAAAAATGACCCCATTCATCGGAAACAATATAAATAAATTTAGTCAAAGGACCCTCGTTATAAACGTTATTATAACATTATTCTAAACGTACAGAAAAGTGGTGTCTTTGTGCTTCTATGTACTGTACCTTTATTTATCATTTCAAACCGATCTTATGTAAAATACTGATATCGATAGCTTCAATATTCACAGAATGGTTTATGAGTTCTGGGATTGGTCTTATACACGTTCCCTTTTGAACATTCTCTAAAAAACTAACCTCATTAATGTTTCATAAAAATTCCCTATAAACTTCACATTACTAATGGCTTCAGCATCTCAGTCGGGGCGATTTCAAGTCGGGCATCTTGTATAACACTTTTACGGTATTTGAAGGTTACAAAATACATACTTCATTTTAAATAACTTTCGTAAAAATTTATGTTTTTAATTAATGTTAATATTTGTATACTGTAAGTGTTCTAATATATGCATTGTTTCTATTCTAATATTTTGTATATTTAAATTTATGGAATGTTTTTTTTTAATTTTTTATTCGATCAAATTCTCTTGGAATCTCGTGATGATCTTGAAGATGATAAAAAGTGTGTGTTTTCCATTAAATAACTAGATTGATTATGTTTTATAAATATTTTTTAGCTGTTGCTTATATACTACGCGCGAGGTTAGTGATCAAGTAATTAGGTAATAAACCTAAATAAAATTATTTAATTTAGGATCGGCCAGATAATCTAGAGATAAAATATATTTTTTATTTATTTAACTCTTGTATGCAGACAGTAAGGAGAGCTTTTTAACATGACTATCGTGGATTCGGCTAGATTCTTAATGCGTGTGCTCAATGTTGGACATTATAAAAAATAGTCTATTAAAAATACATTATATTTTTACACATAACCGTATCCAGCCGGCGATTTTTTACGTGTCGTTCCTCTTTCCTTTTAGCTGCCTGTTATATATATAATTGAGACGACCATAAATTTGAATAGGCCAATTGTATTCTAGTGCTTCTCGTTAACCAATCGGTTATTAATTAAATTAGATATTTGTTCAATTCTTATGTTTAATAATTAATCAACTATAATTTAAACTTTAAGTAATTCTCATAAAAAAGTAATATATAGGATATGGCCTTCATCTCTTGCTTCAAAATACAACTGGTCTCCGAAGGTTATCGAAAAGTCGATAAATATTAACATTAGGAGTTTACTTTTACATCCTTAGACTTGCTGATAATTCTATTGCATTAGATGTAAATTGTAAAGCTACAATAGTAATAAGTATAGAAAAAATTAAAATTAATAATAATAATTTCTTTTTCGATTTTTCGGTAATACTAAAACAAAAAAATTAATAAATATATCGTTATTTGCTATTTGTTATTTTATTATGTAATTCCCAGCGTACATTGGAATTATATTTATATACGTAAACAATTGATATCACGTAAGAAACAAATATATTTTTATACAGTAGAGCGTCGTTTATCCAAGAATTCCAGTGGGCAAATTTAAATTTTCGCTAGTGCTGTGGCGCTGCAATCTTTGGCTATATCTTGGGCTACTCTAATATTTTTTTTTGTTGGTGTGTGTTTTTTAGCTGGCAGCACTGACACTTTTGTGTGGTGTTTTTCTGATGATTGTGTGTATTGCTGAAGCGAACATTTTTGATACTAGATCATCTTCTAAAGTATATATTTTTTTGGTTTTTATATTTTTCAATATATTTATTTTGTTTGTACAAAATAAAGAAATAATTTTTAACGATACAATAGCCACGATTACTATTTTAAAAAGTATACGTTAGGCTTAACATCGACGAAAATTCAACGCGAAGCGACACGCAACGGAGAAAAATTTCGACACGGGATAGGTTAATATATTTTTTCGTACATAATCGGTTATCCAAATATAAGTTATCCGAACAACCCCAGTCCCCAATTGATTCGGATAAACGACGCTCTACTGTATTAACTTTGATTAGAAAACTGATAATAAAATAGTGTTATCCTTAGTGTTAGGTGATCATTTTTGCATAATACAATACTATAACTTTCTCCTCCTTTTATGAAAAAGTTTTAAAAATATTACTATTTAAGAAATTAATACTTTTCTTATGAAACGTAATTACAGTACAGCGTCGATTATCCGAATCAATTGGGGACTGGGGTTGTTCGGAAAACCGATGTTTCGGATAACCGATTATGTTCGAAAAAATATAACCTATCCCATGTCGAAATTATTCTCCATTGCGTGTCGCTTCGCGTTGAATTTTCATCGATGTTAAGCCTAACGTAAACTTTTTAAAATAATAATCGTGACTATTATATCGTTAAAAATTATTTCTTTATTTTGTACAAACAAAATAAATATATTGAAAAATATAAAAACAATAAAAATTATACTTCAGAAGTTAATTTAGTATCAAAAACGTAAAATATTTGAGTNCCATTCTTTCTTCCATTCTTTTGTTTTCCAAACGATACTTTCACTCTTCTTAACTTCATAAACAAACAAACATTAAGAGCTTAGTCCAGAGCTTATTATTATTATTTTTAAAATCCAAATTTATATTCATTTAGGCTAAAAAAAACCGATAATCTTAACAAATGAATTAAATATTTTTCGTTTGAATCTTCTACACTTTTGAAACGTTGAAATTCAATATTTAAATAGATTAAGTTACTATTTAGACGTGTTTTACTTCGAGTTTTCACAAGAAACTCGCGATTTTTCCTCAATGAATGTGCTATTCTTCATCAGAAATCATTCAATCCTTTGGCAAGAAACTTGCCATTCTCCAACAAGAAGACGACAATACTCGGGTTAATTTTAAGAAATATTTAACAGCATATCAACTTTGTATTGTCGCCAATTTTCATAACCAAAATTTAGAAAATAATGATTATATTTAATACATTGAATCAACCATTTCGCATTAATAGCGAACAGTCAATAATAATAATGTTCAGTTCATTCTTGTCCATACCTCCCTTATATAAATAATACCGGTGACTGCATCTAAAAATAATTATGAAATTCGACTCTATTCATAACTCAAGTCATAAATTAATTAAAAAGTTATAATATAAACTTACTACTTGTAATCTAACTATATATCTCATTCCTTCTTTTGCCGTAAAACCTCTTAAAAATGGATCTAAACGAATATCTTTAGATGAAACTGCAACTTGAACACCCGGTTGAATTTCTGGCCTAGAATACTGTTCAGGTTCCATATTTACAACAATACTCATTATACGTTCATAAACTGTTTAAAAATATTTTTGTTTTAACGTTGGATTATGATAATAAGGTATGATATATATTTTTTAATGTTTTAAAACTAATATTTTATATAAATAA